CCCCCCTCCTCCCCGCCAGCAAAAGAAAGCGAAAAAAAAACGACTTTCCGGTCGTGATTCGAGGGAGCATCTCCCGTCCAGCGTGATGTGCAAAAGAGGAAAGTGGTCCAACGTGATGTCCAGTCGGGAAACTAACACAGGACTTTCTGGGCTAGGTCCCACGAGCTACTAGCAAATAAAATCGGATTAGTCGCCTGAAGCAGCACGTCTTTTATGGCATGATTCAGAAAAGTAGATCAATCGCGATTTTCTGCATTTCTCCGCATATAAGTCCAGATTCAGGCTTGCAATCCAATCCCCTTTGCTACCCTTCTTCCCCCGAATACAACGTACGGTCATTATAACTGTATCTAGACTGAAAAAAGTTGCCTCAAATACAGCTATAATGACCGTACGTTGTATTCGGGGCGAGAAGGTGGTGGGACCTCTCCCCTCGACTGGAGTGTATCCGGGTATATACTCAGACACGGATCAGTGATTCTCGGGTCCATAAAAAAAATAAAAAAAAAATAAAAAAAATAAAAAAAAGAAAACCTCGGGTCATCACTGGTTTAGGGCCAGATCCCACTGGCAAAGAGGATTGGAATAAGCGTGTGAATCTGGACATGTTCGTGGAGATGTGTAGAAAATTGTGACTGATCTTCTTTTCTGCATGTCTGTGTGGAACACGTCCAGATTCCGCCACCTATTCCAATCCTCTTTGCCAGTGCGATCTGGCCATTAGCCGGCTAAGCGATGGACGAGTGGTTCATGTGCTGAAGGACCCCTACGGTGGTGTAGTGATGGACCTGTGGTGTAGCTGGAAAAATGGTGCTTCGTCCTTCGGTACATCCGTTAAAATTAGAACGAGACAGAGAAAATAGATTAGCATAGCCCCTGCGCAAGGATGACACGCATAAATCGAGAAATGGTCCAATTAAAAAAAATAAAAATAAAAAATGGTGCTTCTGGTTCACCCAGTGGTTTACACGGTGGACCTACTTTAGGTGGGTAGTGATGGAGGGTTCATGATGCACTTCAGGTGTACCTCAGGTGGAATTCAGGTGTACCTCAGGTGAACCAATGGTGTAGTCGTGAAGTCCCAGTAAAATATGTAATAATTTAATTAATTATGTTAATAAATTACGTGGGGACGGACACCTGTGGATTTTTTTTATTTTTATTTTTTGGATTTTTTTTTTTTCCCTTCCCAGTCTCTTTTTTTTTTTTAAAAGGGAGATGGACTTGAGGTATTATCATCGGACTAACCAGCCCAGGTAAATTCAATCTTGTGTCTAATCTGACAGCAACCGGGTGGCCTTTTCAGCCCAGGCTGGGCTTTATTTATTGCCTTCAGGGAACCCCCAATGGGGGGGGGGGACACCGGCCAGGGGAGAGCCGGTTTTTTTTTTTTAATTTTAACTAAGCTATATTCTTCTCTCGATTTCACCTTTCACTACCTACCTACCACTACTCATCCTGTACAAGAGACAAGCATAGCTACCTCTCACAATTAAGGGGAGGCATGTTGCCCCCGGCCCGAAT